CTGAATGTAGAGGAAGGCAAGTGATAGAGGATTGCAAAAAAGTGAAAACTGCCGTTATAAAACATCAAAATTCCAGGTGTTCGTGAATGTAACAACTTGATTGCAAGCAATCACCACTACTTGAGCACCACCTTCCGCTACTAGCTAGCAAACTGATGACTGTACGACTACCCACGGCGCCAGCCACGGTATACGTGGACCAATGAACGAACAACAGTTTTACAATTCGCGACCCGCGAATGAGCATTAGTCCAGTAAAATTAGACTATAAAAGCGACATACCAGAAGTGTAATATGATGGATTACTCTACAACCCTGATTAAAATGAGCAAAACACTGCTTTGAAATACATAATTGCATTTTGTTAAGCGCGTCATCGTGTAGGACTAAACTCTATCTGGGGAGCGGTTAATTGTATGGAATATTGAAATATACACCAAAACTGTTGATAAGGTTAACGTCGCATGTCCCTTTTTCTAGAACAGCCTGTCTCTAGGGCCCGTATCGTCAGTCGTCCCTACAATTGTAGGGCGCGTTTATGGCCTCCTTGATTGTCATACTCCTTTCTCTCCTTCAAAAATTTCTAGATTACACTTGTCCCGTGTCAGCGTCAGCGCTCTCCTTCTGTGAAGATATGTTTTCTTTTTAAATTGTAGGAAATTTCAGGCTGATAAAACATGATATAACTCAAAAGCAAGCACAATTTGATGCAAATAACCTCAAAATAGAACGCTGACACGGAGAAGTAGAAAACTATGACAATCAAGGAGGCCATAAAGGCGCCCTACAATTGTAGGGACGACTGATGATACGGGTCTTGGAGTATTCTTAATACTTTTTGTCTGATTGTTTCGTGGTGTGTATAGGGATCACTGAAAAACCATGTTATCGTTTCCTCTTTTGTCAAAAAAGCATTTTTTGTTAACAAATAAGCACAGCTCTAAAATTGTATGTGAATATACCACTTTTATGGAAGAATTTTGAGGGTGATTACTTTTTTCCTCACTTCAAAAAACCTTTGCTTTGCTTGAAAACTCTGCTGCCCAACGAGGTTTCAAGAAAATCAAACATTTTTCGAAGATAAAAAATGATAAGAATAAAAGTAATTCTACTATAAAAATGGAATTTGGACATCCGTCGCGCATGACGGGTACTCCTCTTCATCCCACGTCAACGCGGGTGTTCTACAGGGATCGGTCTTGGCTAGTCCAGATCACCGAGGACTTGATCTAGCACGAGCAATAGCGACAGCTGTTGAAAAAAGCTAGGCTAATTATTTACGGTTGAGAAAAACTTTTCTTCACAGGACCTCCTCACTCTATACAACGCCCAGATCAGGCCTACCCTCGAGTATTGCTCACACGGTTGGGGTGCTGCCGCCCCGACTACATTATTCATGGTCGATGCTGTCTAGAGGAGGGCGGTCCGATCGATGATTCTTCTCTAACTGACAGTCTCGGACCCTGTCGCACCGGCGGGCAGTCGGCGATCTAGCGCTTTTCTACCACTAATGGGCTCAGAGATCTCCTCCATGATGCCGCCGCGCGATGCAGGCAGACCCGCCCGACTTCCGCTTTCCTTTGTCGCTAGGGTGTCGTGATTTTAGAACAATTTACAAGAAGGAGGCTTATCCCAGTCGCGATGCCCTGGCATTTAGGCTTCTGTCTGCGCGGCTTATCGGTTAAAAAAATATAATTTCAGAGCTGTACTAATATTTGTTAACAAGTTACGGTTGGAGGGAAATGCACAAAAACATTTTTGACCAAAAAATCACAGCGTTGCTTTTTAGTCATCTCTATATACACCATGAAAAGGATTTAGAATACTGGTCCAAACAGACAGTTGAAAAAAAGGACATGCCACATAGAGTTCCTGCAACTCTTCTGATATATTCAAATGGTATTTGGTGTAAAGCAAAGTATGAGCCAGGTTATGAGTCGTATAAACAAGAGTTTATGCAAATTTTCCGATTATATCTCATTCTGAAACTGAATCCTCATTTTCTTGGACTATAAATTCCTATGTTCTATGTGTGTAGGAACATGCGTGGTACGTGTGTGCCAGTGCGAGTGGGGGAAATCCACTATCAGTTTCCCGTTGAGAAAAACAAGATAATCATGATTTACACTATCTGCATGGTAGTATAATATATATGCTTGATTTATCTTGTTTTTTAGGAAGCTCATGGATACGGGCCTCCGTCCGCTGGACACTATTTTAGCAATAAGCTCAGGACTTTGAAGGGGAATTCTTGAGTTGGAAAATGCTAAACTTCAACAAAGAAAAGTACCTGTAATTGCACAGTCGGCCGCACAAGCTTGACCTTTTCTAAATACCGACGACAAATGACAACTTTGCCATTCTAGACTGACAAAAACTGTCTGTATAGTTTATAGTCAATTTTGGTGTACAACCGGTCGCTCAGACGGAAATTAAAGGAAGTAAAATTGGATAATTGGTTGCACCGGTGGCTCAACCGGTGAATTAAAAAATACGTCTTATGATATAATATCCGAACTACAAGATCTATACATTTTACCCAGAAATTTAAGTGAATCTGAACTATACAAACCCAATTAACAAGTCAATCAAAGAAGGTATAAAATTTCGATATCAATGTTTTAAGAAACTTCAAGCAAAAGCAAAATAGCGAATGTCAGCTTTTATTCCATTTCCACAGGACACATTTTCTAAAAATGTAGATATGTTTCCAGATAATTAAACAATAATATTTTCAACACGTAAATGTTTCAGATGGTTTTTGTTCTTAATACTAATAACGACCACTTTGCCAAATTTCAACCTGTATGATTTTTTCGGAATAAGCAATAAAGTATTCTGCATCTCAACAAACAGAATTGCCGAGAACGCGGTTAAGCATATAATATCTATACCTGAGGGCTGAACAAATTCAACCCAATCTCAAATATTTAGACCCAAAGAAAACCAGGCAACATATTCATTGTACAGGCTAAAGATAAGGGTACTGTGAGATCCTGAATGCATTACCTAGCCACCAACTACCCTTACCCCACCTGCCTAGGTAATGAAAAAATAATTATTTGTAGATGCATAATGTTAACGTATATGAGTTTTCAAAATATCCAATCAAAATTTATCAAAAAAATAGTGACAAAACATATATGTTGACTGTAAACTTGTGAAAAGGTGTGAGCCACAAGTTATCTGAATATATGTATATTGTATTATCTCAACATGTGTCTATATTATGCTCATCCTCCAATACCAAACAATATTAATATAAAATAAATACAAATATAGTACGGAAATAATCATATTACAACTAGTTGTTTGCGATGTTACTGAGGAGCTGAGGTGTGTCATGGGCAAGTATTTTGCATTTACCTCACAAAACTGGTTTGTGATGCTCTGTAAATTAACATACCTAGCATAACTGTTGGAATTCCTATTGTTATCATATGACCAAAAAATTATGAGATAATCGATTCCAGATTTCAAGTTCAAAGAAGATTTCAACAGAACATGCCTGTTACTACTGATTTGGATCTTCCATTATTTTCATACTTTGCTATCCAAGTTCACATTGAAATAATTTACACTGCAAACAGAAATGAATATAATAATGTACATATTCATTTTACTTTGTTGTAATATCCAATTTGCTAACTTATTTGCATCTAAGTCTGACTTATTATGCAACAGCCCATTCAATATTGGGAAAGGATTTTTTTGGTAACCAAAGTAAAACACTTTACGCAATTCTTTAAATTAGTGGATAACCAACCTCTAACAGGTGAATCAACTGTATGGTCACTTACTGAAGGTTGGACTGATTATTTCCCCGAACATACATAATTTATGTATATATTATTATATTTTTTTTCGAGAAAAATATTATATATTTTCTTATACAGGAAAACTTATTCCCATATCGAAATTTGTGTGAGATTCTTAGAAAATACGATATCCAATGTTTGCCTTAGTTTTTGCTGTTTCAAGCTTTAGTTTTATTGATCAATTTTCTCGAAAATGTCTACGATGGTTTCAAATCATTGTTCATTACGGATCTCAAGATAATTTCCATACTGTTACTTATTAACCTTGTCAAGTTTGAATGTTTCTCACGCCTAGGTTATAATTTAATATCAATTGTACAGTAGGAAGTATTTATAGAACAAACATGTATATTTTCAGATATAATTGCATGTTATACTCACTCCGACTTGAATGGTCAAAATAACATACCGACAGAGCCACGTAATTTTGTAGAAAACCCAATAAATGCTGTTAAATTAATTGTCAAGTAGATAGTAGCAGTATTTGTAAAATTAATTTATATCAATATACCGGTAATTAAAGAAGCTTTACTGGAATAATAAATCATGACTTTCATTTGTATAAAACTGAATTCTCCACAAAAAACCTACTACAAGTCTCTCACTTTGAAAACAGACACATCATATATGACTGTCGTAGTTTTAAAGCAGTATGGTCATAAAAGGTGGAAGTTATTGATTCCTAAAGCGGAATATTTAGCTATACATTCAATGTATTCAACACTGTATCTACTACAAAACCTGAACCGTATAAGCTGATTTTAATTTTTCCGATTTTGGTAGAAGCATAACTGAATCGTGAGCGATCTGCGCTTTGATACAAAAATCTGTTCAACTAGTTAGAAAAACTTTAAATAAGTAATTAAAATAAGAGAAGAAACTTGTGCGTGCCTATTACAATGAAATACTATTTTAACGAATTATGTGAGCGCATTGGTATGCAATAATTTATAGAAACAATTAAGTGTTATGCATACATTAAATGCTAAAAATACTTACTTAGCATTTGGGAACTATGACCTTACCTTAGGTATGTAAGACGATGATAAACATGAGAAAACAACAATCCCAACTTACAAGCATTCGGAGTACTAGCCTGTACATTTTCACTTTTATTACGAGGGTAGTACATAAACAACTTATCGAGAGCTTCAATGTCACGATAATTTCAAGGCCACTTACTTGGTGTCGTAACGACAGGGGAGATGTCCTTCCTTGGCGAGAGATGGAGTCGATGGAACTGGGTTGTCGGGGCCAAGCCTATTTTTGGGAAAAACCATTTAAGTACCTTCCATGTTTTATCGACTCATGAAATGCACGACTCTACTGTCTATGCCTCATGTGAATTATATGTCTTGATACTGATCATAAATACAATACAATAGTGGTCATGATATTTCTCAATTATGCCATCAGGTATTAAAACAAATTTGCATGGGGGAACGGTAGCATCCTACCCATGTCTATAACCAGGGGAACCAGTAGATTCCTACCGCACGGAACAATCCCTATACATATATACATACCTTAGTAAGACGTTGATGAACATGAGAACAGAACAATCCCGTTTTACAAGCGTACAGAGAACTACCCTGTACCTTTTCACTTTTATCAAGAGGGTGGTACATAAACAAGTTATCGAGAGCTCCAATGTCAGGATAATTTCAAAGCCACTTACTTGGTGACGTTGCGACAGGCGAGTTGTCCTTCCTTGGCGACAGATAGGGTCGATGGAACTGTGTTGTCGGGGCCACGCCTATTTTTGGAAAAAACCTTTTGAGTACCTTCCATTTTCCACAGAATTATGACATGCACAACTCTACTGTCTATTAATTATGTTAATTAGCTGTCTTGACACTGATCACAAAACAATACATTATTGGCCATGATATTTCTCAATTATATTTTTAGATATTCACGCCTGATGGAAATTCCTCGCACGGGAGAACGGTACCTTCCTACCGCATAGAAGTCATGTCCGATAAGGATACCTTAATAATCTGGTGCTTAGACAGATATGTCAAGTTTATTTATGGTTACGAAAAGCAGTCTGGAAACCAGTGTCGTGTTAATCCCCAATAGCTTCAACGTTACCTCTAAATCCAGAGATAACTGAGCAACCTGACAACTTTAAAGTAACAATCCACATATCCAGCTACGATCCTTGCAAACTTCAGAGATTGTCACGAAAGAAAGCTAAGCGGTCACACAGACCTAGAATGTCGGCCAAAAGCCGTTGTGTCAATATTCAAAACGCTCCGACATTTGCCTTGAAACCCAGCAGTAATTAACCCCCCTAGCAACCTGGCTTTGTAAGTTTCACAACAACCCCCAGGATCTGGAGGCGTCACACCTCTGTTGATGTTTAACTCTTAAGGTACGTCTAACTTTCTCTTTTAACTATTGATAACATATCTCATATGGCTATTTTTGACTGGGTTTTTAAAAAACTAACTGAACACTTTTTGAAGAGCATTTTTAGAACACATTAATCAAGCAATTTTTTATTCTGCTATATTTATGATTTAATTTGAATGTGTTTTTTATGCCGAAAAATTTACTCTCTAGGTGAAGAATACCCTAAAAAATTCCACGTACTTAATTTCAAAAACCGCCCTATTAAGTATAAATAAATAGTAAATATACAACAACAATATTGATGGCTGTTCATTTCGAAGTGCGGTTAGAAAAAGAAAACTGGTATGTTTTTTGTAAGCAATCAATTAATGATAGTTGATTAAAAATAATTAATGATAGCACCACAGTGAAAAATATCAACAATTTTTATTTTGAGCACAGACATAATATTCGTTATTAACGACTTTTAGTCACTTATCAATAGAATTAAAACAGAAAAAATTCTCGTGCAATATTGTGGGAAAACGTAGATTTGTACATCGGCCAAAGTTAAAGAATTTATAGTGATCACAATAAGCGTACGAAATAGATGCATAATGTAGGTTGTGAGTTGTGATTCACGATCGCTCCAAAAGACCTGACGTCGCGTGACTCCGTTTTTCAGGTTGGCCATTTCTATCGAACCCACAATTGCTCAATAAGTATTAGCACGGTTAATTCTGGTGTGGCTAAATGCTATATCAGACACCCTACATAAAGTCTGATGATTCAATGATTATGATACGTGAAATTTGAAATGATAGAACGATCGTGGACGGGGAGCTTAAAATGTCGTCATAAGTAAACGTAACCTATGACATGTTAAGCTTGCACTCAGTGGTTAAATTAAAGCAGCATATGTAACATACACTAGGTAAGTACACTGTCAATTTAGTAGCTGCGGTAAAGCATAGCACACACAGCGTTTGAGCCGTTGAGTGCAAGTGGACGCAACCATAGTCTACAAGTATACAATATACGAACATAGATTAATTTGGCAACAGGTACCTTAGCATAATGGAAATTAATGGAACTGATAACGAAATTCATTTATCTTCTTATGCGTACGTAATAACTAGATTTTTCCATGTTGGTATTGATAAGGTATTTGATTATCTGGCTGTACCGAAATAAATGCTATCAAAGGATAAGCAGAATTGTATTTTGGGCGGTTTACCGAACAATACGTACATATCTAATCTTGGAAGTGGTTCCGGAACATGCTTGACAACTCTCAAGCAAGATTAGCTTATACTGTAAAACGAGGAATAAAATGAGAATGAGCATTTTTTACCCAGTTCATAGTTGTCATCATATTGTAGCTTTTAGCGCAACAAAAATAACGAATCGTTAAGCTTCCGTTACGTTATTTTTGACAGAGATAGCAAATAGGGGTGGTTGGAAAACGAGTTTATATGACCATTATAGTCAATCGTGGTAATTTAACAGTACTGACTACTGACAGTCATGACAGGTTGCTTTTTTTTCTTACCTTAAAATTTCAACATTTTGTTAATTTTTTTATCGGTTACGTAATATCTGCATCAAAACCAAACAAGAACTTTTTAGAATCAAAGAACCACTAAACGTCAAATGATCACAAAACCGCAGAACAATAAATAAACTCATTTAGCACATTGCTTATTTCTTGCATTTATTTTTATCTGTATCTAAAACTCATATCTGTATTGTATTTTAACCAACGTGTTTTTATATCTTAAAATTACTTGAAATAAGCTGATCCAGCTACACGAAACCGGGCAACAGTGCTGAATAAGAAAAAAATAACATTAGAAATAAGCTCTTCCCTAATCTCCGTTGCCAACTTAACGAGTTTTGTTATTTCGATAACGGAAAACGAAGTTTCGTTTCGCTACTCGCAAAATCGAAATAAGTGTTCATAGTAGTTAGATTGTTTCAAATTGCACTCATACTAATCCTTTATATACCGCATGTTTGGCAGGCATTAAAAACCTTTCTTTTTCAAATCGGTCCTTTTTAGGGCCACAACTTAATAATAAACAGGAATTCTAGAATAATTAGTTTAAAAAAATAAGAATTTGAGGGATGTATAATATCTTTGGCCTAAATTTTAGCTTAGGAAGAAGATATCAAGATGCGGATTTTGCGAGCTTGTTTAGACATCATTTAGCTACTTTTTCATAAAAATATCAAACCACTACATTTAACTTTTTTACCCAGTTCATAGTTGTCATCATATTGTTTCAAATTATAGTTTTTAGCGCAACAAAAATAACGCATCGTTAAGCCTTCCGTTGCTGTATTTTTGACAGAGATAGCAAATAGGGATGGTTGGAAAACGATTTTATATGTCCATTAAAGTCTACCGTGGTAATTTGACAGTACTGACTACTGACAGTCATGACAGGTTGCTTATTTTTTTCCGTTTGATGTGAAGCTCACCTTAAAATTTCAAAACGTCAAATGATCACAAAACCAGCGGAACTACAAATTTTATTTAGTACACTGCTTATTTCTTGCATTTATTTTTATGTTTCTAAAATTCATATTTGTATTATATTTTAACCAACGTGTTTTTATGTCTTAAAATTACTTGAAATAAGCTGACCTAGCTACACGAACTCCGGCAACAGTGCTGAATAAAGAAAAAATAACCTTAAGAAATAAGCTCTCCCCTATTCTCCGTAGCCAACTTATTAAGTTTTGTTATTTTGATAACGGAATACGAAGTTTCGTTTCGCTACTCGCAAAATCGAAATAACAAGTGTTCATAGTAGTTAGATTCTTTCAAATTGCACTCATACAAATCTTCTACATAACCCCGTGTTTGGCAGGCATTAAAAATCTTTCTTTTTCAAATCGCTCCTTTTTAGGGCCCAACTTAATAATAAACAGAAATTCTAGAACAATTAGTTTAAAAAATAAGAATTTGAGGGATTTCCATATAAAATTATCTTTGGCCTAAATTTTAGGTTAGGAACAAGATATCAAGATGCGGTTTTCGCGAGCTTATTTAGACATCATTTAGCTACTTTTTTATAAAAAAGATCATACCAATGTATTTAATTTTTTGAGAAAATTGAACATTTCTGTCGGACTGTCGAAAAAATCCTTCTAGCGGCCACATGTGAAACAAACAAAACTTCAAATATTATAACATTTGTCGCTCAAGAATAGCTCTTTTCAACTAGCACAAGTTTGTTAAAATCGGCTCTGCTGTTTCGAAGTTACGGGGTGTTATTTACGGAAATCTTTGAACACCTCCATCACTTTTAGATTCAAGACTGCAGCTACGACCCTAGCGGCCATTTCAGAAACTTGAAAATATTTTCCAGGTTTTTCTCTTGGCCGTTTTAGTAATAACTGTTTTGCCGCAAGCCTGTACGATGGATAGATTCCCAGATAAAGTACCACCCTGTACAAACTCATCTATCCAAAGATTCAATGGATGTCTTTTAAATATGTTTGTGATGTTTTCAAACAAGCGCTAGTCTAGCTCAATAGGAGTATTGCATAAATAGTCAATCTGTACTATAGTATATATAGTATTTTTCAACGTATAGCAGGATAAAAGACAGCCTTAACTGGAGGGGATGTTTCTGCTTATCCCTAGATAGACACAATCTAATGTTGTTGGAGAGATTGCTGTCTGGCCATAACATGTTGACGTCACAGAGGAAGAGGAGCTGGGGGGCAATACTTGAAACGGAATATTGAAATTGTGTATTTGATTATGTGTAACGATAAAGAACTACTAATTAAATAATTCCTGCCTTGGTTACAATCTTCACATGAGTAAGCCTTTAGTAATTAAGGCACGAAATGCAATTCACGTTTCAATAAATTCTTCACCGATTCAACGTAATAAACACAACTGCAAGTCGGACAAGAAGAATAACACATAAACTATAAAAGGAAAATATGTGAAAAAAATAATGTGAATACAATATAACTTGTCAATTCATTATTGTTATATTCATATGAATTTTACTTTATAATGAAATCATCTTTGCATTATGCAGAAGCGATACTGCAAACGGAAACAACAGATAAGCAGCACAATATAATACAATCAACGTAACTAAATGCCGATATTCATACATATGTAATAAATATTTATAGAATGACGGGCGGTATAAAAAATGTATATATTTACGTCCCTGCAAGCTGTTCCTATAAATTTCTTCACTTTCATTTCCACTTTCCTTTTCACTTATCTCTCACATACCACCTCAATAGCACCTATACACAACAACCGAACTCGAAGTGTCCCAAACAAATTTCAGCATCGTCAAATTTTTGTTTGCGAGGATCATAGTGCGCACGTGGTCACAACAACAAAAATATAATCATCCATTTCGAATGGTTGCTTGAACAGCATTATCTTTTCCATCAGTTTCTAAGCCCTATCCAAAACTCATCCACGCCTCGTCAAAACAAACACCAGCGCGTGAACCTAAAAATCTTGGAGCTTCTATTGGTCAGAGGGACATACAGGGCGTTTCGAATTCGACCCTCACCATTAGATTCTCGGAAAGAGATACGAAGTCGCTTAAATGGGGGCAAAGTTGCGTATTTAGGTAATCAACAAAATGCAGTTTAGAAAGTTTCGAAAGTACTTACGGACAGACGAATTTTCTCGAAAACGCTTTATTTTTTTCCATACTTTAATTGTAGTGGGATTTCAAAGTAAATTACACATTAAGGTTGCCACTTTTTCTCCTCTACAAGATGGCATAATTAGAATTCCAATATGACGTTTCGTTTTTTGCCTTTTTTGAACATCTACGATGATTTACCTCTGCATTTTTTTGATTATTACTCATCGATAAAATTTTCTTGTTGTCTTCAGGCTTCACTATTTCTTTAAAATTTTCATTCAACAACAAATTCTTGGTCAACTGAGGAATACATCACTGAATTTAGGTCTAAAAAGTCCATTTAAATGTACAAAACTCCAATACGGCGTCCATTTGAAAAACAAAGTCGAGGATGGAAGTCGAAAGATGAAGAAGAAACCTCGTATTGAAAACTTGACTACGCAATCTTGAAGAGGAGGAAAACTGACAATAACAAGATGCAATTTATTTTGAAATCCTACTACAAATAAAGTCAGAAAAAAATTAACACAATTTTGGGAACATTCGTTTTTTTTTCGTCTATCCCCGGAAGTACTTTGAATTACGAAACGGCATTTGTTGATTATCTAAATTCGAAACCTTCCTCCCATTTAGGCGACTTCGTATCTCTCACAGTTTCGGAGGTCCCCAAAGTGAGGGTCCGATTTGAAACACCCTGTATAATCCTCCACGGAAATGTATTTCTGTTTATTCTTGTATAATTAATTCAAATTAACAGATATGCAAGTAAATGATAGAGCGCAGGCTGCACAATGAGCACCGCTTAGAGACAACTATAAATGCCTTATTTCTCTGGAGACACCCTACAGCCATCCCACGATCCCTTTTTGCATGCATGCTTCCAAAAAATAAGTGAAAGTTCAATTTTAACCGTTAATAATTGATACTTCATTAGCCTCAGAACTCAGAAGTGCCAATAACTCATGGCAGAAAACCAACGCTTATCATGATGATAATGAAAGGGTGTCTTCTTAATCACAAAACTTCTTGTGGACACCGTACCGTGTTTATATACCGATATCTGCACAAAAATTGCATTTCCTCAGGACAGTAACAATACTACTATCACTATCAGTATATATAATACATGAGTGTAAAATTTGTGCTTGCAGCTAAATTGCCATTTAATGATTAAAAAAAATGTTATCCCTCTGGCAGATAGTCTAGACAGTAATTAAGATGAAAAACTGTCACACTTATTCCTGAAAATTGAAAAAATTTACTACTCCGAAAGGACTTGGTAGCATTTGTCTGATCAACAATAAACAAGATTCTATTGATTCAACAACTGAAATTGTACACAAAATTTCATTCGCTCTCTCAAACATGAATTTTAATAGTGTGGGCAAAATTTAGATACATGCAGACAGATAGTATAAATAGAAGCAAGCCTCGGCTAATACAAATAATAATGTTAATTGGAATAACGTAGATGCACAAAATCGTTATCTTACAATAAACATACAAAACCCAAAGAAGTTTGAACTTGTGCTTGGGTTCACATGAGAATGAAAAAAATACAAATGGGTAACTGCATAAACGTTAAATAACGTAGTTAAGTGTAAGACATTTTATATTTTTCTATGTGCACGACTCGGCTAACTTATTCAGACAATTTTTGATATAAAATTAGTTGTTTTTGGAATATCCCTCCTTAAATGTGTTCAAACATAAATATACCCATTATATACATAAATTATTTCAAGTTTAATAATCATATTTAGTGTCTATAAGTTTATGGATCCAGTTCCTTGGTTACTGTATAATCCATGACTTGATGTGTTTTTTTAAACATTTTGATGTTTTAATAATCTTATTGATGCCGGAGTATGATTGAAAAGTTTTGGGCCTAAAAAGAGAAGAGACCTTTGACCGATGGTTTTTGTAGATTTTCGCACAGATACTGAATTTTGTTTAAACCTTGTTTGATAGTGGTGATTGATGAGATTTAGATGCATCTTATTTTTAATGTGGTACATCAATCCACTGTTAAAGTAAATTTGTCTATCGTCTGGGAGCTGCGCTTCTAAATAAAGATTATCGGTTGGATATGTAATCTACTTACGAAGGATCAATTTTAGTATCCAATTCTGTGCAATTTCAATCTTATAAAGTAATTGTTTATGAGTCCTCCCCATGCTAGTATACCATGAAAAAAAAAATTGCATAACTGTTGTAAAATCATTTTCAATTTCAGTTTTTAAAATGTACCAATCACTACTTGTATAGATGACTGACTGATGTATCGTCAGCGAAACCAATAATTTCGCCAACAGTAACTAAATTGGAAAGATCGTTAATATATAAATTACAGACTAACAGGCCTAACACTGTACCTTGGGGTACCCCATAAGTCACTACCTGTTGTTCGCTTAAAGCACTGTTCATTTCAACTATTATGTATTTATAATAGTTTCGCAATAAAAATGCTAAGCCAACTGAGAGGTGGGAGAGTTTCATTAAAAAGGGTCACACAACCTACGTTAAAAAATGTGTTCTTTTGTCATTTTTCCTGCATAGAAAACCCATGGCTTATTCATTCCAATCACCGTTAAAAACAGTAGTCAACTAAAGGGTCATTAAATCATAAGAAGTAATGGAACAAATCCAGAAATAACTTTTGAATTTTCATCCGAAACGAGGACTGCTTGTATATGACAGTAAAGACCCCCAACTTTTCAGATTTTGCGGGTTCCGTATCATTGTCATACGACATAAGTAAACAGATCGACCAACTGTACCATGGACGATGCATCCTAACTGAGGAAAACTGCAAAGTGTCAAAACGATCTTTAAAGCACATATGAAACCGTTGATAGAGAATCATTGTTTTATTAAAATTCCGAAAGTACTGCGATTTTAGCACAAACCGTCGATATTCTCCACTATGTTCCCAGGCATCATGACGAATCAACAAAAAGTCAAATCGTACGGCTATGACAAGTGAGGTTTTACACTGATACTGACAAGCATATTTGTAGACCACTTATACATAACGAGAAAATTTCCGACGTACTGAGAAAAAAACTGAAGCGATACCCGCCAAAATCCGTGAAAGAGCTGAAGTAAGATTGCATGAATATCCATTTGCAACTCATATCTACGAGCAAAGTAAATATTTGGAAAGTTCCCACTCACGTGTCATCGTATCGTCCATTTTTTGGGCTGAGGTTGGTGTTGAAGTGGTCGCTCTTGAGCATGATCGAGTCCCGGTCTGTGTGCGTCGGTGAAATGGTCATTTTCGTACGATAAGCAACGGAGAGCATCAACAAGCCGACTGGGGTGTATAGCTGCGCTACGCGTACGCATTTGTACCCTTCACCGAGGCAGTGTATTTGGGGTTCATCCATATAGATCCGGTAGCAGATCACGAACGTGTCTTCGCCCTGGAAAAAAAAGATCAATTATTCAGAGCTTTGCTACAAGTTGTTAGTTGATATCCAGTATTCAGGTCTTCGGTTTAAGCTGGCAACGGATGGTGAGCGATAATATAATATATACTATAGTGGTACAATACTCTGTAATATTATATTAAATTATGACTGCAACGGACTAGAGAATATTATTTTCATACCTTTCTAGCAGTGTTGCCAATCCTACCGATTTTTTAGCATTTCTGTGAGTAGGCTGATCTGCTAATCTGTGCTGTACACAGTGTATTTAATTATCAAAATATCCCCCATATGTTAATCTGCCGCGCTTGAGTAAATCCCAAAATCGTCTCTTGGGTCCCTACTATTAGCTTTCAAGTCACCTATTTATATAAAAATAAATATGCACAAGTTCATACCGTCGGATAATCGCAATCAGCGATGATACTCCTCCAAGCTGCTTCTTTAATCTCATTATTTTTATACTCGTTCGAGTCTACCTTCCATAAACACGGATGTCTCTTACACTTTCAACAAAATACTCCATTTTGTCTATTGCGAATTCCGAAGTGCAAGAACAAATAATAAAATAGCAACAACGCGCCAAGCCGGCCGCCAGCAAGAGCGATTCGTGGGCATTTACGGGTGACAAGATGCGTGTGCCACGCACGGACGCTATAAGATATATTTACATCCCAGCGATATATTACGTATCTGAGACAAAATGGAGTATTTTATTGAAAGTGTAAGAAAACATCCATGTTTATGGAAGGTAGACTCGAACGAGTATGAAAATAATGAGATTAAAGAAGCAACTCGGAGGAGTATCATCGCTGATTGCCATATATCCGACGGTATGAACTTGTAAATATTTATTTTTATATACATAGGTAGTTTGAAAGCTAATAGTAGGGAAACCTAAGAGGGAATTTTAGGATTTACTCAAGCGCGGCAGATTAACATATGGGAGATACCTTGTTAATTAAATACACTGTGTTCAGCACAGATCAGCAGATTAGCCTACGCACAGAAATGCTGAAAAATCGGTAGGTTCGGCACCACTGCTAGAAAGATATGAAAATATATATTCTGTAGTCCGTTGCAGTCATAATATAATATTATAGCGTATTGTACGACTATAATATAAATATATGTATTATATTATCGCTCACCGTCCGTTGCCAGCTTTAGAGTTGTTTACTAAGTCCCGTATCGTCAGTCGTCCCTACAATTATTGTAGATCGCGTTTATGGCCTCCTTGATTGTCATACTCCTTTCTCTCCTTCAAAAATTTCTAGATTACACTTGTCCCGTGTCAGCGTCAGCGCTCTCTTATTGTGAGGATATGTTTTCTTTTTAAATTGTAGGAAATTTCAGGCTGATAAAACATGATATAACTCAAAAGCAAGCATAATTTGATGCAAATAGATGTTTGTGACATAACCTCAAAATGGAGTTCTGACACGGAGAAGTAGAAAACTATGACAATCAAGGAGGCCTTAAAGGTGCCCTACAATTGTAGGGACGACTGACGATACGGGCCTAAAGCGCCAAGAAAGATGCGGGTAAGCCTGGCCGTACCAATCATAGATTGACATAAAAATAAACAAGGCTAGTAAATGCACGGGTGTACCATAAGCAGGGGTGCTGGCGGCCAAAGAATGAATTTAAAGAATGAATTTAAGTGAGAAAAGTGAAAAAATAGTGAACTCATACATAAAAAAGTCAGTTAATTTTCTGAGAAATTGAATAAAATAATGCCAAATAGTCACAAGTCGTGACCAAAAATGAAACATAATAAACAGGATCGTATTTTATGTAACCCTTTTCCCTGGTGGGCTTCATTAAAAAGATACGAGGTGTTGAAGATTAAAAATAAAAAACAATTATTTTATATCTTCAAATCCGTCGACTGCAATGAACTAAAATTTGATATGTGGATTTACCCAAGTATTGTCCACATTCAAAGATCTTTACTTAAAATTTAACGTGCACCAATGGCGGAGATACAGGGGATTAGTGGCATTATTTTTCCAAATAAAAATAGTACGCCACTGTTTTTTTCGAAACGCGCAATTTTTCGAATTTTACCTACAATTTGCATAAAATAATTACTTTTGTGTTTTTTCCTAGAGTGCATTGTTTTCGTAAAAATAAAAAAAATCATCAATCAATCAAAGCTTCATTTCAATAAATGTTAAAAAGACCACCATTCTGACGGATACAAGTGCGGCAACTTTTTAATAAAGAAAAACGTATTTCAGCAAAAATTGTTGTGGCTTGAATTTGATGAAACGCATTATCTATTGTTCCATACGGTGCATAAAAGAAATATAAAAAATATAACAAATTCTTGTAAATGCAGCAGACGTACTTATATCTATTACGTATTCTTATCCTATTGATTGAACCTACATTTTAGCGAGGTAATGGTAAAAAATGAAATTAGATAAATTAGAGTTATTACAGATGAGTATTTTTACACAATAATTGACTAATTTAATCATCAGACCGTAAGACTAGAGTACTTGTCGTTCGGAATCAAGTGAGACTCTATTCGATGGGTTCCCATGGACACTTCCTGGCTTCAGCATCAGATCATCTCCATGTCATAATAATATTGCTTCGTCAATTGTCATATTTAATGTCCGCCATATTGGATTAGAATGACGTCACTTTGATCAATCCCTTGCATGTGATATCCATAATATGGGGGTAACTATTGAAATTATAAATCGATATTTTGTGGCGGCCGCCATATTGAATCTAGAATGACGTTACGTTGTTCACTGTCCCTCTCTCATGAAGCGTTTTCAGTCGATAACCATATTATAGTGATAACTATAGAAATTATAAACGCCATCTTGCGGCGGTCGACATATTTGATTTAAAATGACATTTTGCTTTATTGTGTTTCTCTCAAGCGCTTTCATCTGATGTCTATATTATAGGGATGATTATGCAAATTATAAATCTCCAAATTGCGTGTTTCGTCATACTGAATGTAGAATGGCGTCAGTTTGTTTATAGACTAAAGATAAAACGCTATTATGTAGTATAGGTAGTAGATTCAAAATGGCGGCAGTTAAGTTAATATGTATTGTCTCAAGAACCAGACAGGCATACAAAATTTCAGCGCTTGGTTAAGGTTAATTGTTTCAAAATTCAGTTTCAGGATTTGTACCACACATGCATATACGAACTAACATACTAACAGTTACTTGTACAAGGTTTGTAAAAAATGTTACTGTTAATGCAATTTATATTGAAATCCCAGCTCAAAATAAGCCGGGAGAAATTGAAAACGGTTCAAGGTTAATTAATATTTTCGGTCTCTCTTAAAATACTCTGAATTGCTAAAATATCGAAGAAACATTTTATTAGTTACCTAAATGTGCGACTCAGCCTTTATAAACCATTTGGAATTGTAATGCTTACCGTTTCCGAATTTGAAATCCCGAGTGCCTATATAGAGTGCTTTTAGCAAAACTGAATTAAAATTTAACGTAGATTTCAACTAATCCTAGTAATTTCTGATGTAGCAGCTGTACAAAACGTTGTCATAGTTAATATTGATAAAAAAAATCACTTCATTTAACTTGGTGGGGCATGAGAGAATGTTGACAGCTCCTTAGAAAACTTTCATAAACCTGAATACGTGCAGCTAGAGCAAAGGTAGTGAGAAAAATGAAAGTTTTCAATGAAAAGTGAGATGGATCAAAGAAAGTGAAAAAAGAAAATCGCCAGCATCCCTGCATAAGTTGTAAGCATATAATTCTGCAGGATTTTAGTTGGCTCTTGAGATACTCCTTACTCTATTTGATGATATATTTTACATTTATATATGGATCACTTATTAGAACTGTAAGAAATTCCAGAAATGAAAATAAGCATCTACTAATTTCTACTTCAGTTACCTGTTTCCTGGACAGCTTGTACGCAGGCAACACCCTGGTGACTGAGGCCAGCGACTTGAGCATTATGGTCATCCTATTGTAGACGGTGTTTACGATCCTGGGCGACCAGTCGCACCGTTCAGGCAGAATGCCGAAACTCCAGGTCTCCAGCACCATTTGGTCCCCTTCAGCGGTACGTAAGCTGATCTCGACGCAAAGCGGCAGGCATGTGGAGAGTACTTCACCGTTCAGGACTCGCTTCGTTTCGAACAACACGTCTGGCAGATCGATTATGTTCAAGTTGAACTGGAACAAAAAATAAATTAAGTAACGTCTCAGACAAGTAGAAAACTCGCATTCGTGGTAAAATTTTTCGACTCGATTTTTGTTGTATAATTACACTTGTTGAATGTCCCTTAACCTAAATCAACAATAACCCATCTTTGAAGTTGACAGTTTTACAGTTTTACCTCTAAAAATGGCTATTTTCAATTTTTAAACACTTGGTTAAACACTACATTATTTTTGACATTGCTGAAGGGCATTTTAGGCTTTTTTAGAAAATGATCAGGGGCCTTCGAATAGTCAAAAAATGAAATTTAATCGATTTTCATTTTTTAGTTTTTAGCCCATTTTCAAAAACTACAAAGCTTTTTCGTCCTTGGTATAGTAGTAACCTTGTACGAAAATTTCATTCAACTCCGAGAGGTACTTTCCAAGTTATAGAAGGATCAAGGATTTGGAACACGCACAGACGTACGAAAATTTCATCCAGTTCCGAGAGGTACTTTCCAAGTTATCGACGAACCAAGGATTTGCGAACACACACACAGACCGACGGAAAAAAGTCACATGAGGACATGAGTGATAAGTAATATACTTCCTTCTACAATCATTATCTGAAAATTAATGACTCAACTTCGAAGTCACCCTGTATATTTGAACGTTATAATAAATGAGGATTCATAGAAGTCCATTCGAAGGAAAAAGAAGAGACATTTATCGGGACATTAGTTATAGCAAAGTTGATGGACTCTCTGGAATCGGATGCTACTAAAGTCAAAAATTATAAATGATGGTGACATTGGAATAAGTGGAATTTGGCAGTCAAAAAGCGAATTCAAAAATACACGTGTAACCCCCAAAACCAATATTTATTTAGTGCGATGTTTAAGAAAAATTATGAACAAATCCAAACACCACACCAACCAACTTTTTCTGACTGCATTGATACTTGAAATTGTAAAAAGAAATTAAAACGCTATTCACCGATTGTTTCAATGTCAACATAACCCTCACCACAAATCAATCGGCTTCAGGCAGCAGAAACATTGGAAATTGGACCGCTTGAATCTTGGATGTCTGAGACTGTGCGTAGACCGAAGTTATATCAAACATCATACATGAATGAGCCTTTAGAACAATTTTGCTAACACCTCTCATCTTGATTTATCCGATATTCAATTTCAATATAGACCCATGCTTATTGGACAACCTTTTATATAACGAGGCTCGTGATTACGTGATTAAGAATGCACCAAGGTAAAACATTCTTGATTGATTACCTGAGTATTAGAATATTCATAGGGATTTTCCAAGTTTCCTTATTCACCTATTGATCATTCGAAAAGTGGGTCTTTTCAAATTATTTATCACCATTATTTATTATTCGACAGTAAGTAGATCACGACCGAAATAGAAAAGACGCCATTTCATAACCTTGTCAATATGAAACAAGCAACGTACATTCCACTGCTTAGTAGCTGTAATTGGACTTTGAAGCTACCTGTCTACATTATCTAGTCTTCATATCATCCGAGAAAATGTAGCTGTATTTGTTACTCAGTACTTCTCAGGCGTTGGAGTGAAAATTACTGGAAATTGAAATGTCGTATCTATCCTGTCATTTTGTTTAACAGCATCTATAGTTTATAAAAACATCATTTATCGAGAATATTACAACACCAAAGATAAGCCCCGTCTAATCATATTAGTCGAAAATACCCCTTGTTTGCGAAATAATTGTAAAGTCTGGGTTTATTGCTGCAAGTTGTTCAAGGGGGTATTCAAAGCATGGACCCATAAAATGGGTACACCAATTTTTGTGGGAAAACTTTTTATTCGACAACAAAGAATGAGAAAACGTGTTTTTGGGATTCAATCGAAAGTGTTGGTAGGATCGAAAAAACTCTTTTTATAAGATTTTTAGGCATTTATGAGACCTACAAAATGAGACCACACGTAAACAGAGCCGACTAATACCAAAAATTTATTACCGAAAACCCAGGCGAACTGAAGGTTTTGGCACTTGTTGGTAATGCGTCGATGGTTTCTCGCAGATATTTGAAATTCTTCAAATTCGTAGGATTCGTACTTCTAAATAATCGCAACAAAATTGGAGTAGATTGGTCAAGTAGTTTTTGAGAATTTTTAATTGCTTATCCCAAAACACCTGTTTTCCGGCCAACAGTACTAGTTTATTGAGCAATATACAGGGCTAGTTCAAAGTGCATTTTATAGCAAAATACACTAGTTTACCTTGCCGATATGAATCGCAAACCATTCCGGAAGATAAATGTTACTTTTATGCAAAACAGGATAGGTTAAGTTTTTTCTTCCAAACATTTCGTATTTGTGAGTAATTCGCAACAAAAGATGATAGACACATCCGCTTTGTTTTAAAATGTGTATAGTAACATATGGTTTTCGAATATCGTAGCGCATTTGTTCAATTACTCACAAACACGAAATGTTTGAATTTGTAGAAAACAACGTACCTTAAAAAATACATTTATCTTTCGGATTGGGTTATGATTTATATCGGTAAGGTAAACACGTGTATTTTACTATAAAATGATCTTTGAAAGAACCCTGTACATTGCCCAATAAACTAGTAGTGATGGCCGGAAAACAGGTGTTTTGGGATAAACAATTAGAAATTCTCAAAGACTCTTGACCAATGTACTCCAATTTTGTTGTTGTTATTTAGAAGTATGAATCCTACGGATTTGAAGAATTTCAAGTAGTTGCGTGAAATTATCGTCGCATTACCAACAAGTGCCAAAACCTGCATTTTCTCTCGTTTTTCGGCCACAACATTTTTGCTATTAGTCAGATCTTTTCACATGTAATCTCATTTTGTAGGTCTCATAAATACCTAAAACTGTTATATGAAAAGTTTTTTCGTTCCTGTAAAAACTTCCGATTGAATCCCAGAAAACACGTTTTCTCATTCTTTGTTGGCAAATGAAAAGTTTTCCCACAAAAATTGGTATACCCATTTTATGCGTCCATGTTCTAAATACCCCCTTGAACAACTTGCAGCAATAAAACCAGACTTTACAATTATTTCGGGGAAATTTGCTAATATGATTAGACTATATCTATGTAGAAATTCTACGTTGTGGTCAAATAAAAGTCCACTAAATTCGAAGGCTCCACCGAATTACACATACGAGGGCGGGGTCTTATGAAGCAGTATGCATAGAAGCACAGAAACTCGCGATGGATGGCTAATGCAGACACCTCCTGACAGCCGTAATGATTTAAGTTTCTGATTAATGCGATACATATCTATCTTCTCATTGCACAAAAGAAGCTAACCAGCAAATTTTACTATGTAAAGGGATTTAATGCTTCGTCCATAATACCAACAAAATTGCATAACTGGCAAAATATAGCGTTGAATTCTGAATCTAGATGGACAACGAACAAAAGCTGATCAACTCTACTCTATTCAGAGTTTAAGGTCTATCGAGATAAGACAGTACAAAGTGCCATCTACTACCAGAATCCACCACTACCAGACTGGAAAGAACAAGCTGCCTGCATACCGCCTACTCTCAGAAGAGTAATATCACTAGAAACCGTGCTCCTACTTAAACTGATTTATTAATGACCAACCAACATATATCCAGATGGATGAATAGGTTTATAAGGTTGTTTTATTTTTATGCAAAAGCGCCCACATCCTGTGTATGCTATATATACGAGGCAAGTACAGCAAATTCGAATCTTATATAGAAAAATAATGACAATATTTCTAGAGGATTAAGTATAACAAAAAAATAAGATATACAGTGAAATTCCCCTTCGCGGACACCCCTCTTACAAGGATACCTCCTTCAAACGGACTGTTTCTGATGGTCCCGACAGACTCTCATATAATTTGCATTGTGTCAACTCTCTCTTGGACGGACATTCTCTTGGACGGCGGGGACACAAGAAAATGTTTTCGTAACCGAAATCTAATACTCAAACACCTGCTACTAAAAATTGAATCTGCTGGTACAGCTTTTGAGATAATAAAGAAAATAACATCACTGGATGCACTTTATTTCGTAAAAACCGATTGGTACCAAGTAACCAAAGAAACAGTGCAAATTTCTTCCGTACAGCATGATTTAGCATGAAAATAGGCAAAGTGAAGACCAGTTAAATGAGACTGATACACCTGACTCACCACTTAATATACTTTCAGATATCTTAAAAAAATAAGAATTTATTAAAATTGACTGATAATGAAAACCTTTATAGATTTTTTGAACCTGGATAAAAGTTTGTATGTGGAAGATCCAGATTCAGGCCAAGATATTGAAAATTCAGTTGAAATACCAGAACATTCCGAAAATTGTGATGCTGATGAGGTCCCAGTACCAACAGAAGCTATTACAAATTATGGTAAAGCTATTACCCTGACCAAGCAGCTCAAAAGTTCTGTCAAAAATCAGGGATATACAGAGTTTTTGGAGCTTCTTTCTGAATTGGACTGCGTTATGCATGACTTGACCAAGCGACAAATCTCAGGAGGATGAATACACTTTAACAATTCATTAAAAATCAATGCTACGATTGTGTTGAATGATTTTTGTTCTGTGAATAGAAAATGATATTACAAATGTTTGTATGAACTCCTTGTTTTCAAAATCTCTTATACCTAAAATTTAATGAAATAAAATTACGCTTGGTCAAGTATTGCTTTCAAAAAGAATGCTCATTTTTTCCTTTGACTTAATGACCTCAACACAAAAATGTTACTTGGTCATGCTATGCAAAATAAGGAAAGCATTACAGAAAGATTCTTTATTTTTGTATTTTAGTAATTAGCATCAAATTCATTGAAAAATTAAAACTACACAAATTAAAACATTGCCGAAACCAAATAAGAAATTGCTTGAATGACAAATGTCAGTTATATACCGATTCAAAAATGAAATGAAGCAACAAGTAATCACACATTTTCGAAATGATTCAAGAACCTGAATCGAAAATTTGTATTATTCATCCTCAAGCTCAAATATTACGCT